TATTTTTTTTTTTTTTTTTTTTTTTGATAAAAGAAGTTTAATTTATTTGATTTTAAGTGTACATAAAAAAACCATTACAGTTTTTTCGTGGAATTTCAGCCATCAAAAGCTCATTTTATTTTATTTTTTTTGTGAAAAAATTGTTCATCATCTTATTAAATACTTCATTTATCTCAATATATTTGTATAATTTGACTGTATCAATTCAAATAGGATGAACTTTGAATTCTGATTAAATAAAAATGTAAATTATATTAGTATATAAATGATTTTATTAGATTTAAATTGTTTAGATTTTTTTTTAAAAAAATAATCCTAATAATAGGCAATACAGTAATTGAAAATCAAAGTTTTTTCTATTTGATTCAGTAAAAGTCAAACTTGACAAAAATAGTAGGACGAAGGTAGTACCTAAGACTATTTACTTATCACTTTTTTCATCTTTAGATCTACAAAAAAAATGTATAGACTTTATGATTGTTGTAACAATAAACCTACAAAAGCACATTAACAATATCACGTCGATACTACATCAAAAGTTTAAACCCACTAACTTTTTTAACTTATTTCTATAGCGATAAACCTACAACATTACAGCCATATTCTTTTTACGTAATTTGAATGATTCATATCTGATTTGAATAAGTTCTGATATGAATGGTCTGCTGTGATCAGATCTGAATGTAATTATATATAAAGTTATTTCTGATATGATCTAGCCGAACATAAGAAAAAGGTAATAAGTAATATGAATAAGTTGAACAGAACATGACTTAACTTTAACAAGATATTTATATATAATTAAAATAAACAAAATAAAATACTATATTTAATTAAATTTATCAAAATATAATTTTTTTTAAAATTAAACTAAACAAAATATTATATAGACATGAAATCACAAAAAGTAAAGATAAAGAAAGAGAAATGTGATGGGTGAAGATCACCTCAAACCAGAAATCCAAGTTTGAAACTGAAGAGTCCTTTTTACAAAAAAAACATGTCACACCATTGTAAAATTATTTGTAGTGGGGCTTGACCCCCGGGCGTGAATGAAGTGGAGACATCACGTCACGTCACGGCGTGGCGAGTGGGCTTGATGGTTCACAAATGTTGCCCTCTCTTTCTTTATTTTTTATTTTTTAAGATCAAATTAATTAAAATTTAACACACTTTTATACCAAATAACCAATTTAAAATAATACAGTCATGTCATTTCTAATTTAAAGGGTCACCAGTTAAAGGGTCAAATTGTGTTCACTTTGTTGGCAATAAAGCTCTTGAGCGTTCACTATTTACATTATGTTTGGTTCAAGGAATTCAAAAGAAAAAAGAAAATAAAATGAAGTGGAAAATAAGTTTTCTTGTTTGGTTAGAAAGGAAAAGTAGAAGGAAAAGAGAATGAGAAGGCAAAATGTACCAAGTGGATGGAAAACCAAATTCCTCCCATTTTGGTGAGGAAAATTAGAGAAAATCATTTTCTTTTCTTTTCCTTCAAAATTCTTTGAACCAAACATAATATTAAAGGATCAAGTATTATACACTTTGTTGACATATTTTTGTGTCATTTTCGATAAAATAATATAGTAATGTCACCTCTAGTTTATAGATCTTTTCATTTGTTTTTAAATATGTAATTTTTATTTTTTAAATCCATGTCATTTTTCATATAAAATAATTTAAAAATAATCTCAATCAAATATCGTAACGCGCAATAGAAATTTTATTTATGGACAGAGAGAGTACATCATTATCACCATTAAATATCCTGGGTACATATGTTAATACGCTTGGGTGATAGTGACTTTCAGTGTCATTTGATGACACTTACTTATTACTTTTATAGCTCCCAGTTTAGGAATGGGTTTATGAAACTGCAAGTCATCAATTTTTGAACAAGCACCGTACCGTAGATATTCCAAAAAAGGTATCTACATCGAGATGTCATATTACCATAAAACAATGTCCTTGGAATAGATCTCATGTTGTATATTTGATAACGAATATCCATAACATATATGGTTACCACCTCATGGTCTCTTCCATGACAATATCAACGTAGTATTCACATTTTAGTTATGAGTGATATTCGCATCATGAATATAATATATATCATCTCTCATTTTATCCAATACATTGTATATAAGGTAACTCCTTTTGTGATTCTTATATTCAAACTCATTTTATAAACTTTCACACATAAAAAAATTGTATCTAATGAGCATTGTATAATTAAGAAAATCCAAGTATGAGTTCATAAAAAACATGTAAGAAGACCTACATTTTACACGTAGATCTTAAAATCACAATAACACAACTCAGTAATTAAACATATACTCAGGGGTATATGATGTCTTATAAATGTTATGATAAAATAGAAATGATTGATCAACATTGAATTGGATGTTGCTATATTTACTCTCATTTTTGTTAGATTCACTCCATTTATAATAAATAATTTTTTAAAATACAACCTATTATTTAAAGATTAAATTATTCATCTAATATAAAAGAATAGAATTTAGCAAAAAAAGTATGGTAAAAACATCATAATTTGTTGGTTTCTCAGTCAAACACTTATACATCAATGTCGTTCCTCCGTACTAAAAAATTGTCATTATTCACTATTAAAAAATTATGAGAATTGTTGTTCATTTGAACGCTTTGATTGATTAATTGATATAATAAAACATTCATGCAACCTCTTGTTTTGACAAACTTTTAATGTAATTTTAAATGAAGAATCTTCTTCGGTAAGAGTAAAAAAAATTTAAAATACTCCGTAACAAAATAGGAATCACACGTCATTTAATACCAAAATAAGAATATAATGACACTGTGATATAAAAGTATGCGTTGACAATGTGATGGAAAAATAATGACATTGAATGCGGTTTTAGTGGTCGAGCAACAAATTCAGTGATGGAAGTTAGGATTGATTCTCACCTCGTGCCCAAGGTAGACAGATTTCAGTGTCTTAGATCAGTTATTCATGCGGATTGGGAGTTATGAAGAGATGTTGCACTTTGTGTTGGAGCGGCTTGGGCGAAATTGAGGTTGGCTTAGGGAGCTCTGTACGATAAGAAGAATTCAACTATGACGAAGGTAAGTTTTATCAGTCTATGATCAAACCAGATATGTTGCATGGTATGTAGTTCTGGGCACTCATTCGCCGGCTATATGTTACCGAGATGTAGATGTTGCGGTAGATGTGCGAAAAGACGATGTTAAGTACAACCAAGGACAGAGGAGAGCGATACCAATTGAGAATAAGTTGTGAAAAGCTATGTTGAGGTGGTTTGAGCATGTGACTATATGAGATGAGAGAGTGTTGAGACTCCAATACGAAGGTGTGAGAGGTTCAGAGTGGTGGGTGAAGGCATGGAGAAACATGAGAAGAATTGGGATGAGGTAATTAGACAGAATCTAGTACTTCTGACCGAAGACATGACATTAGATAGAAAATTTTGAAAAACTAGAACTAAAATAGTTGGATAGAAGTTTGGATTGGATGATAATTTTCTCAATTTGCATTGTGCTTTCTACTTGCTATACTTTTTTGTCATTAATATTAGTTGTTTTAGCTTTTGTGATCGTGCATTTCTATGGTATGTTTCTTTATGTGTTTTCTATGAATTTTTGTTATCTATGTCACTTGAGTTGGTGATCATGGGTAAAATCTATGTACACACTATAAGATAAATGAGATTCAATTAGATTATTGTTGTGGAAATCATTGTTGGGATTTGGGAGTCTGTCCGAAAGTTTTCCTCACAGGCTTTTTCTGGAAGGGCAGAAATGGGAAACAGGCGGTTCGCGCAGATTGACACCAGTGACGACGACGACAACCTGTTGATCTCTCAGGTGTGCCGCCGTTCGAACAATGGCGTGGAGAAACGGAAGTGCAAGAGGATGAAGCTATGCGAAGAAGAAGACGAAGAAGAAGAGGAAGAAGACATGCGAAACCAGAACAACAAGAGGAAGGCGGTGGAGCATTTGGAGGAGGACGTAGGGAAGGAGAAGAAGAACAGGACTTCGGAGACGAGGAAATCGGCGGATGAGTCGGAGCCGGAGGAGGACGTCGAGGAGGAAGTGCAGGAAGAGGCGAAGCCCATTGGCGATGTCATTAGGGTTAGTGGAAAAGGTCGAGGCCGCCGGAACCACTACAAATCGTTTGAATACGATGGACTCACCTATGAACTGGTGAGATTTTATTTTATCAATACTGTTTTTCATTAAATTGGCAATGTCACTAGGGTTAGGACTCACCTATGAACTGATTTTGAATTGTCTTTGTAGAATGTGCTCTCAGTACATTGTTGAAATGATTTATCTCCTTCTGCAAAAAATTATGATCGAATGGCCTTTCTTTTTTCGTTCCTAACTTATTTTTCTAGTTACCAGATTGAATGAGTTTTTTTCTCTTCATGCTGTTATAGTTTTTGTTCTTATCATCACTAACATTAATGTTATTTGTATTTATATTATTATGACTTTACAGTATTGACTTCTACCGTTGCACAGGAGGATCCAGTGCTGCTAGTTCCGGAGGAGCAAAATCAGAAACCATATGTTGCTATTATCAAGGTAACTGAGTTTTTGTATGAAAGACTGGATTTTCTTGTTGTACTTTATCTTTCTAGGTTTTCTTGCTGGGTTATGTTTGCTACATTGAGAATGGACTTTATCCTTTTTCTTTTGCTTTATCCACTGACTTGAAAGGAAGCGATATTTGAGATTTGAGCTTGCCAGCTGTTTACTGTGTTCATTTCTAATCTAGTTCCATAACAATGAGTCACTTTCATGCTCACAGGATATATCTCAGACCTGGAAAGGAAACATGATGGTTGACGGGCAGTGGTTTTATCGGCCAGAGGAAGCAGAGAAAAAGACTGGTGGGAACTGGCAATCCCGTGATACCAGGGAGCTTTTCTATAGCTTTCACCGTGACGAGGTGCCCGCTGAGTCTGTAATGCACAAGTGTGTGGTGCACTTCATTCCTTTGAACAAACAGATCCCAAAGCGCAAACAACATCCTGGATTCATTGTTCAAAAAGTGTATGACACTGAACAGAGGAGGCTTTTCAAATTGACGGACAAGGATTATGAAGATAGCAAGCAGCATGAGATTGACCTCCTTGTGCAGAAAACTATGTCACGTGTTGGTGATCTTCCGGATATTGAACATGAGGACCACCCTTCTATCACAGCCAATGAAGATCAGTTGTTGAAGAGTAAACGACTGTTGAGGAAAAAAAGTATTCATATGTTAGATGTTTCTAGAGAGGATGAAGCACCCGGCAGAAACAAAGCAGATACACCTGGTAGCTCTGCCAGCAATGCTTCAGAGTACTCTGCAATCCTAAAAAGCTTCAATGTGATGATGGATGCTGATCACCGTAACAGGTGGTTGGAAAAGTTGCTTCAAGCAATTCAGTTTATGTGCCACCCTTCGGATGGTAATGAGAGGGGAACTTCTGATGGCCGTGATCCTACAGTTCCTGCTAAAACCAGTTCATCAAAAGTGAATGAGGATAACTATTCAAATGTAAGAACACAAGACATTACACTTATGATTGTTACTGTTTTATTGGAGTATATATTATAAAAAAAATTTGAGATGTTATATAATATTAATATATATGTGTCCTTCTTCTATAGGGTGAAAAGAATTTTCTTTGGCCAGACAGTGCTGTTCCTGTCATAGTTTCTCTTGAGCGAGCTGTACATGATGCGCTTGCCTCAGATTTTCAGAAGTATAACCAGAAGATGAGGCAGTTAGTCTTTAACCTTAAGGTTAAGAGATTAGTTTTGTTTTTCGAGCAATATACCATTTATTTTTCATAACGATTACTCGGGTGAATAGATCTACATATTTAATTGCAAATTTTCTCCTTTGTGATAATGTCCAGATATTTGTATAAGAGCGGTGAGTGGAGTGACTTACCAGAACATTTGTTGCTAATGTTGTTTTGCAGAATTATAAAAAATAATCACAAAAAAATGTTCTTTTTGCTTGTCAATTTCTTTAATATCTTCCTTTTTTGTGAACAGAATAATGCTCATTTGGCCCGGCGTCTCTTGAACGGCGAGTTGGACGCCTCACAAGTTTCGAGCATGACACCAACTGAGTTAAAGGCATGGTTACTGTTGACATTTATAATTTATTATGAAATTGTTCTTTAAAAAAAGAACTATTTCTCTGTACACTACTACTTAGTCATATGCATAGTTTCATTTTTATTTATCTTTTCTCTGGCTTTACTTTATAAGAAAAAAAGCTTCCTGGTATTTTAATTGTTTAATTGGGAACGCAATCATTATGTTACATTATATTCTTCAATCGAGTTAAAAATTAACATGTAGCTTTTGCTGCATCAGCAATCATTATTTCTTAGGCTGTTTGCTTCTGTGGAATCATTCTTAGGCTGTATTCTCAAATGCATAAATTTCTTCAATAATTTGGGATAGTGGGTGTTGGCTGTCATTATAGTTTGTCATTCTTGACTGAATTTCAGGAAGGATTGACTTCAGATGAGCTAGCAAGCAGGCAGCCTGAGGAGCAAGAGCCCGTGCAGGTTTGTTCTCTGAAAGAAACATTCTAAAAAAATATTGTTTGCCTTTAGAAAGTTGAGTTTTGCTGTTTGGCTAGATTGTCAGCTTATACACCCTTTGGTGGGATTTGCAGAAGTTCATATCATACCCATCTATCTTCATTTCTAGCAATATATCTGGATATCATATATCTTTTGGAGAATATAATGTCAATCCGATGCAATAATAATACTGTTATTACGTTCAAAAGAGTTCAGAAATATTATTTTCTAGATAGTGCATAGCTCACATGCTTTTAATTAGATTTCTCCATCATACATGTATGTAGATCATTTTGACCCTACACATGAAGTATTGGTATTAGCAGGTGGAAACATGGTTGCTAGGGCGAATCTAATTCAGTATTGTAATAATTTTTTCATCTTCTGGTGCAACAGATGACTAATGCTCGTTGCAAACGGTGCGGTGAAAAACAAGTTCGACTGATAGATATCATACAGGCTGGACATGGTGATCGTTATCAGGTACTATGTACTATTCTACCCTCAGTTTTCTTTTCCAGCTCAATTAGTTTCTTGACGACGAGTCCTCTGATATGTTAAGACCCAATGTAAAATTCAATGTTCTCCTGAACTATATAATTTGGACCCAACAGAAAAAAAGTCACTGAACCGGGCAATAATTCTCTTTCTTGTATACTCACCCTTCTTTGTTCTACATTGGTTGCTCATACTGCACTTACATATTTATATTATCCAGCTGGAGTGTGGAGCTTGTGGGAACACCTGGTATGCTTCAAGAGATCAAGCTGCAACACTAACAATAGGAGTGCCATCAACTGACACCAAGCCAGTGGTGGAGTCCGATGACACCGAGAAGCAACAGCTGGTTAGCCCCGGCACACAACAACAGCAGCAGCAGAATCAAGACAGAGAAGCTCTTCTCAAGACATCATCAACCGGTCCGGTCCCAGATGCCAAACACAAGCCCAAATCTGCAGAGGGTGTTCCTGATCTATGAATCGAAGAACATGACTGACTGATAAGCCTCCTCCCCAGGTGTTGTTGTTTATACTTTTCTGTACATTATTAGTCTTATCTAATATAGAAGTATAGATATATATGTATATATATATATATATATATATATATATATATATGTATATGATATTTGGCTACAGTCTGCCACTCTGCCATCTTCTTGGAAGCATGAGTGACAAACGTCTCCGGCATCCCATTATGATTTTTTTTTTCTTCCAAAATTTTTAACTTCAATCAATCGGTTGGTTAGTCCGTACTACGTTTGATAGATCATCAGCAATACAAATGTTACGCCAATGATTTTCCTGCGTGTTTTGTGTTCTTGCTTTACTTTGGGATGTTTGGACTGATAAGCCGCCCCAATTGCCTTCTTCCTCTCCTTCTCCCGTGTCTCTCTCCCTTCGGGAAGATCCCCACCCACACCCCTCTCTCTCCCAGATCTCTTCTGTGGCTCTCATTGGTGAGGTTGCCGTCGGGATGGCCGGCGACCACACCCAATGGGCCATTAATGGAATGAGAAATAGTTTATCTTTATCTTAAGTACTTATTAGTAAAAGTTCATGTGCATTTTGAATATACATACTCCGTAATAATTTTCCTATATTATGTATACAACAACCACAACAACAAAGCGTTTCGATAATACCCATTATATATGTACAAGTATTTATTAGGAGGAGGTAGTAAAATATAGCAGCAGCAGGTACTCATGCTACGCAGTCATTCCAGCCATTCTTAAATCTTGATCCGCCATTCCCATTCTTTTTTATTACTCTTACTTTTTCTTTTCGATTTTCTTCCACGGATATCTCTGGTTTATCCGATTTTAAAACTTACGTCGTTGCCTCTCATACATTTAATATTCCTACGCCAATATCCCTCTAGACTAAAATACACTTCAAATATCAAATGAATACCTCTGATACCTTTTATGGTCGGTTTTGAAAATGAGCACCAACGCCCCCCTCTCCTTTTTCTTTATTATTTTTTCTTTTTTCCCTTTATTTTCTTCATAAAGAGAAAAAAAATGTTTGTTCTTTACCTAAACTGTATTTTTAAAAAATTAAAAATAAAAATTATTTGTTTTTGAAATAGAAATGAAAAAAAATTAAAATATTCATTTGTTTAATGGTTAACATGTACTGTGTATTATTGCCACATGCGTTTAGGCATTATCAATAATGAATTTTTTAAATGTATTAGAAAATGCACGAATGATTGTTTACAAATAAATTAAACTTTAATTGTAATGAATTTTCATACTCCATAAAAAAGTTATTTTAAAAAATAAAGTGAAATATATACTCCGTATAGAAAATTGCAAGATAAAAAATACTGCATATGTCATGTCATATTATTACATAGCATGACATATGGCAACACATGAAATGTAAAAACACATGGAATGATTTGGTAGAAGAAAGCTTATGTGGCTACACATGGCGTGACACTTGGTAAAAAGTCCTACATGGCATGACACGTGGTGCAACCACAATAAATCCGCTCCACTTTATATATATACATATACATATGATATGATGTGAGAGAAAAAAAAATCATGTTGATCTGTATGTTTATTTGTATAACTTTCATTTTGCAAAGAAAAAAAACCATGTTAGATCTGTATGTATACCTTTCATTTTGCAAATAGCACAACCTTATTACTCCCTTCGTCCCAATTTATAGTGTCTGTTTTAGTTTACGATGTTTGACTGAAATTATTTTCAGATCATTTTATATGATAAATGGTATAGAGTTAAAAAATAAAAATTACTTATTAAAATACTACGTCAAAAGATTTACAAAACTAGTAGTGATAATAGTACTTTATTTTATGAAATTGCTAACGAAAATTGATAAAGTAAGTGAATGGAGTTTGACCAAATGACAACATGATAGAAATGTTTCCATTATCAAAGAAGATTAACACTGTAAAATAAAACATTGGAGAAATATCACCATAGTAAGTATTCAATTTATTATTTATATGGAAAGAAAAATATATGATATATAATGTATTTCCTGAAAACTTTTCTCTTCTCTTTTTTCATTCGTCCCAAAAAAATTTTTTCGTTTTTATTAAAAAGTCATATTTACTCCTACTAATTCTTAACCTACCTATCATATCACATTTATTCACTATTAATTTATCCATCAAATCTTATTTTTACCTATAACATCTACGGATATTTTTGAAAATTCAACACTAAAATATAATTCTCTTAAATCTCTTAAAAATAAAAATCTTCTATATACTCCCTCCGTTCCCTAAAAAGGTTCTTGTTTTGACTTTTAGCCAAATTAAAAAAAGTGTAATTTTGGTTGACTTTCCAATTTTGCCCCTGATGTGATGGCTAAAAGTAAGATGTGATAGTTTGGGGAGTATGTTTTTAGGGATAGAGGGAGTATACCTAAGGCCGGGTGCATGATTAAAATTGCATAATTTTTCATTTTTTTGACTTTATGGTCAAAGATATGACCAAAATGATAAGCATTGCAATTAGAGAGGGATGCGTTAGGGCTAGGCCGGGATGTGGGGGCTTGCCGGGGGTTAAGGGGTAAAAAAATTAGTTTTACGAGCGGAGCACTGTAGGTGTCTCGATTGCATTGTTGTAAGAATTGTAAAAGTTATTGTTCTACCATATATATACTCCGTATATATATATAAATATATATATATACACACACACACACATATATATATACATACATATATATATATATATATATATATATATATATATATATATATATATATATGTATGTATGTATGTATGTATGTATCGTATATAATGTCTAAATTTAATAAATTTTGATAAATCACTGAAATCATAAAAGATCAATTATATATTTATATGAATACAGAAAATACGTACAAAGGTAATAATGTAATTGTTCCCAACAAAAATTTTGGATCCCCAATTGCATGTAATATGAAGTGTTTGTGTGTGTGTGGGTTCATGTACATACTATAATGTTTGAATTTCGAATTTCAGGCCTCCGATCGATCCTTAACACTTTTACAACAAAAAAAAAGACAAAATATTGAACAATGATACATGAAAAATAATTCTACCTCAATGTAAAAATAAAATTAAAAAAAGAAGTAAAACTGTGCGTGTATATCAGTACGTATATTAGTATGGGTGTATATATATATATATATATATATATATATATATATATATATATATGTTGGTATCAAAATAATGTTTCAGATACTACGTTAATTAGATTCTAATAGAATTAATGACCAGCCCCTTTTGGACTTGGTCCCGACGGCAACATCTCCATCCAGTTCGACAAGTTGATCCCCACCCGGTCAAACACCGACGGTGGGAGATTCTCCGCCGCCTGCAGGTGGCCAGGGGCGGCAAAGTCCTCGTTAAACAACCGCACTCTTCCGGCTGCATCGACGCGAACACTGCTCATTAGTGCCACGAAAACTATTATGAAGGCGGCGGCGACCACCTCCACCGGCAAACCGCTCCTCCTTCTCCTCCGGTAGTCCATTTCCGAACGATGGAGTGTATATATTATATTATGTACTAGATGGAGTTGCTTGAATAAAATGTGTATATGGGAATGCATGCAATGGGATATATAGATATGGGTGTGTGTGTGTATATATATATATATAGAGGGATATATCATATACGTAAGGAGGGACGGTGAGTGGGTAGATGGATTTGGTGGAGTGTTTGGTTGTTTGAATTAATGACAACATGCAGCCTCAATATGAAATTCCACATTATGATTTTGAAGGAAAAAGTCAACATTGACCCACTCACATTTCATGTGAATTTTACAGTCTTAAGTGTTGCAGTTTGAGGATGACAGTGTTAGTAATATATAGAAATGTGATCGATAATGGGCTCGGGGGAACGTGTGTTAACGGCACGGTGTTCAAATATAATGTAATACTTTGGTCATTAATAATTCTGGAAATTAAATACGCTTAACTTGCTCGTAATTGGTTGGATACATTATATATGTAATAATGTATTTGTAAAATCAGTTCAAAAAGTATACCCTGGAGTAATTTTTTTAAATTTATTCGAGCATGAAAGTCAAATATGAGAAGTTTAAATTATGATATATTATGGGTATAGAGACTACTATATATAATGGTTGAAAATTTGAATGTGAATTTGAATTGCATGGCTGCTGCTGCTGCAGGGTGCGTGCAGTGGGTGGTACTCATTCAATTCATATTTTACTCCGTATTAGTTCAGCTTTTAGCTTCTTGCGTGTGTGTTAGGGGTGTTCAAAAATATCCGATCCGAAATATCCGTCCACGATCCGGGCCGATCCGATCCGAAAAATGGATATCCGATNTTTAGGTAAAATTACCAAAGTTACTCCCAAATTAAATTTGATATCATTTTTTAATTAGGCCATTACTCAGTGGTAAAATTTTTCTTTTAGTAAATTTATATTGAATTTTAATATTTTGGGTTTATTTTGCTATTTTACCTTGTTTTTTATAAATTATGGCTAAAAACTCAATTTTTCGGATAATCCAGTGATCCGATCCGAAAAATTGGATATCCGAATTTCGGATATCCGAATATTTTCGGATCGGATATGGATTGAGTTTTACATGATCCGAAATTTTTGGATATCCGAATTTTCGGATCGGATCGGATCGGATCGATCCGATTGAACACCCCTAGTGTGTGTTGACCAATATATACACTTCGTACTCGGTAATATATAACCGGTTCTATATAGTTGACATTTGAAGAGGTCTTTATTTGATTCTTTATTTTCTCACATGCATTCCTTTTATGCCGAGGAATTAAACTATTGCAACCCCCAAAATTGTACGGAGTACTTAGTATCTTGCTTTCTATCCTAAAGACATATTTTGTGCTTGTAAGCTTGTGTGATGATTTACAATGGCACAAAATGTCAGTACTGTTTTTTCTATTGAATTGACATTTTGTGCAGGTGTAAACCACTAAAATATAAGTGCATGGTGTATAGGGAGTAGTACCGAGTACTCATTAGTCATTACTAGCTACCTCGGACTTCTTGTTAGTATTTGTCTAGTTTTGATTTTTTACTGTTAATTATTTTTATATTTGACATATAGTTAGTTAAAAAGAATAAAGTACATTGACTAGATCAAACAACATTTTGAAAATACTACAATATGTAGAACAAATCTAATGATATTATTTTTGTATCAATATCTAATCCCCGGAGTATTAATTTTTTATTCAATTAATTGTCAAAGTTTGTCAATTTTGATTGCAAAAAAATATTGTAAAAATATTCTGGGACAGAAGCAGTATTTGCTCTGCCCCGTTTCCGGTACCAAGTCAAATGAAAAATCTATAAGGCATGTTTGGTAAACAAGTGAGTAATATTGAAAAAAACAACCATGCTAGGAGTACACTAAGAAATGCACTCCGAATTGTACCCCAAAAAGATACACCCGTATACTACTATAGTACTATACCAAGTCTGACTTCAAAGAAAGAAGTATCGAGAAAGTATCTAGCATTAAAAATCTTAGTCAGAAGAGTTTCATTTGATAAATCTTATAGAAAAATTCTACTCCCTCCGTTTCTTAAAATCATTCTCATTTTGACTTTGGGCAAAAATAAGGAAAGTATAATTTTGGTTGACTTTCCAATTTTGCTCCTGATGTGATGGGTAAAAGTAAGACGTGATAGCTTGGTTATTAATGAAAAAATATGATGTGATAGGTAGAGTATGAAAAGGTAGGAGTAAAAGTAGTTTTTTAATAGAAAGTGGAAGTGTTTTAGAGAATTGAAAAAAAACAAAAGGGGAGAGTTTTATGGAAAGGAGTTAGTAAAATTTTATTTCATTCTACTCTGTATAATAAAAATTTAAATCAGTTTAACTGTTAATAATCAAACTGAATATAAGTATTCCTTTGCGGGCAGTGGTTTTGACTCCTTTCGTCTTCCGCAGCCTTCTCCGATTCTTATCAGTCTCTGGCCGCCGCACATTCGCAAGGAAATTGCAGCACATTATCCGGCGGCTCGTTTCAGGCCCAGGCACAAGAAAGTGTCCGGAAGCTTCAATACGATTTTTTTTCGAGGTATAGACCTCAAAACCCTAGAGTTCTAATTCCTAAATCGATAATTTAGCGTTTTATTTGATAATCATGACTAACTCCTGTGCATTTGCTAACTCTATGTCAAGAAAAAATTGAAGTTTTAAGTTCTCTGCTCTTATAACAACCTCATTATCACCTCAACCAGCAAGTTCCTTGCATAGATTTTGACCAAGATGAAAATCAGGTTTTCTACTTTTCTACTCCAACAGATTAAAATTAGGGAGTATAAAAATTACTTTTTTTTTATATATTAATCAGTATGTTGTAATTAAAATTTTATTCTTTTAGTCTTTACATATTGATGAATAAATATAGCGTGCACTTGAAATTTTCATAAGAGGGTTGCTAGTTTTATCAATCATAAACTCATAGCTGTGATGAATTCAGAATTGTGATATTTTACTTTTCATGTCACTGTCCATTGCCATTGTATCTAAAAGAGTCATTTTGACAATGTTTTAGCTTCGGGTGAATAAATGACTAACTTAAAATGACATTCTTACTTTCTATGATGTTTTGGGCTGTCAATGCATCAAGGTTCTAACAGAAAAATCCTATAGGTTGAATGCATCTTGAACCCCCAAGAGCCCAACGGAATTGGGATTATACTGGGTTTTGTTGTTTCTTGTTGCACTTTTCATTTTGATGACTATCTATGTATGTAGACAAAAATGATTTTTTTTTGTTTCAAACATATTCTTTTAGTTTTAGCATATCAGCTATATAGAATACATAAAAGAGTTAAATAAGGATTATGAACTGAAATCATGACTTGTTAATGATATTTTAAAACTTGATATGGACCCACATACAAACAGTTAGAAGCAAAAGAGGCACTAAATATAATATTGTTTCTTCAACTTGAAATGCTTTGTAGGTCATTCCAACAAAACCTTTTGTAAGGTCCCAAGCCATTATTCCTTTGCAAATTGATTTCTTGGGACATAAATAATGAATTTACAAAAGCAAACAGAAATTGTTGCATTGAATGACTCCATCAGCAATTTGGAACTCACCGCGTCAAAGAAGGGTATCAGTGCTAGCTCAGTAGAAGGAGACAATGGAATCCAAATCACGTGCTTCTCTGAAGTTTCCCATGATGATGTCAATCTCCATTTCCAAATCATCTGCCTTCCTAAACAGGTAAGCTCCTTTCTATGTGTGTACGAACTGCATTCAAATGCACATCTATTATGGGTAATGAGTTAGTTTAAAGAGTAAGGAATTCAGAGATATCTGTAATGCGATTGTAATCACTTCCTTTTTATCCTGGACTTGGCATTTTGAAGTTTTTTCACTGTCTTTGTAGAAAAACAAAACTATTTCAGTCAATCTGAAAATCAGATGAGGTTGTTTCATTTTTTCATAGAAGTCACAGGCCTTACAAAATAATGCATTGAGTTTTAGTACCTTGTCACCATCTCACCAAGGTTGTGTCGTTGTGAAGATAGCTACGCAGCGCCAACTGACTGCCTTGTCGCCCATGCAATTTCCTAGGTCACAATTGACAATTAGGTAATTAGTTGTCGTTGCTAATATTTAAAAATATACGGAGTACAATATTCTAAAATACTCCGTATGTATCATCAATTACTAGTTTATGATTTTAATTCAAATCAAGGGTTTAGTATCTATTTCCAATTCATTAAACTACAAAGTATCAAGTATAATCAACAAACAAATTGAACTAAGTCTCAAATATCATCAACAAAATCCAGTATAATGCCAACTACATTAAGGTTGGGTGGTGGGTGGGGGTCGTGAAAAAGTGGAGGGTTTTGTGTTAGATCTTTTAAGCATTACAACATTCACTACCTAAAACTTCATAGAAAGGAAGAAACAAAGAAATCCCAACGTGCCATTTTGATTTATCATGTTGTTTACCAGAATTTAAAACAATGCGAGTAATTAGTCATTAAGCTCCATTGACGATTGATGCGTAATGGGAGGATCAACTCATCAACTTAGACAAACAATATAGTTTTACGGTTTGCAAGTGATTATAGCTCGACAACGAGTCTATCAAAAACATCACACATTCAACTAAAATCTTAAGATGAAAAATAAAAAAAGTTTTAAAAATTATAATTTTTTCTTAAAATACTCAACATCTTAGAAGTTAAAAGTACTTTCAAGAGAATTCGTTGCTTTTATTGCTTGGTTGTCCATTGCTTTCAAAAGCTTCTTGCATTCGGTAATAAGCTCACACCTGATCACTTATCTTGGCTTGGAAAAAATCTTGAAATACCATCTTTCCACGCACATCATTAGATATCATTCTTTGCCCAGAAGCATTTATGGAATTGTTATGTTCGAGGTGGAAATCTTTGGTAAGATTTTAAAATACAGCATCTGCATATAATTTGACCTCTATTTGGACAACCAAACACTCCTAAATAATCTGCACTTATTTTGCCTATCATCTACAGTTCTACTTCTGTTCGCAAATGATTCGTTGGTTTGCATACCAGCCTAGAATGTTGACAAAATTGTTGGAGATCAGTGGGGGCGGTGAACAATCCAAATCACCAAATGAGAGTCGATTATATGCTACCTTATTTTTAAAATTCTTCTAAACGTTTTGAACTCGAACAGAATGATCCCTCATGCGCAATGTGAACGGGTAATTTGCTCAAAATGATTCTCTGCATTTGATTCCTCATTTTTCTAGGCAATGTGCTCAAAAGGAGTGCCATTGATGATTCTTTGCATGCCAAAATCAGTGTTGATTATTGCAAAATTTTAGGAAGGTTTGGAAAGCATTTGGCAATCATGCAAAAAAAGAAAAGGCAAAGCCTCCTTCGTAAGTGTACTACTAACTTTTAAAGTACTAACTGCTAAGTCTAAACTTGTTTTTGTTTTTTCTAAAAATTTATTTTTTTTGAATTTTAGTTTATTTCTGTGGGATGCTTCATGGTTTTGATGGAGTCAATCTCGAGCACTCCAAACACTGTAAATTGAATTGCTGGTATTTTTTTCCTTTTCTGATTGTGAGCGTTATCGGAGTACGCTTGAGTTAACAACTACTAATTAAAATGAATACTTAGGTGAAATATAAACCCATTAACTTAAAGTACTAAGTAAATTAATTTTATAAAATCTTTGGGTCCACACAAAAAGAAGACACATGTTGAAGAATAGATCAATAATGATGTTATTCATCCCGATGATGATGTTTTATGGACTCAAGGTAATGAACCTATGGATGCATATTGGCATCAAACAATCTTGAGGTTCTCATCGAGGGCTTGTGTTTTTGAAGCTACTTTTATTCACGGTGAGATGCTGAGTTATTCTCGGCGCATGAGATCTGCTTCTACATTAAGGTTAAGTTTAATTGATGAAGAAGAATTAGAAAACGAAGTAGAACATTTTCTTTATTGGAAATGGATAATAAACGCCTTCTCTGAATTAATATGAAAGATTAGAAATTGATATACTTTGTATTATATATAAATATTACATCTATTGACTCTTCACTCTTGGAAACATCTTTTCTTCCGTCATAGGTGGGGGTAAGGTAAATGTACACACTCCACCCCCACACCACCTAGTGGATTTCAATAGGTAGTTGTACACTTGTACATATGTCGGTTTGTAGTCTGGGCTTCATCTAGCTTCCTTGACAACCTTGTTATCGCAATACCTTTGTCACGGGTGTAGCAGTGCACCTTTTGTCATTGACTAATTGCTAAATGCTTTAAAAGATAAAACTCAGAAAACAATAGATCTCAGAAATATTTAATTTGTTGAGCTCTAATTGTTTGCATCCTGGTGCTTTCATATTTCAAATGCATATTATTCCATTCATCTGCTGTCATAGGTGATTGTATACTGTGAGTAAATTGGTTCCTGTTCCTTGCAAATCCTGATTATAATAAATCAATAATATTGAAATTTATCTCTGCCCAATCAGATATATGTATGGATAGGCTGCAACACTGCAAAGTTTGGACACCTGTATGCAGCTGGACCTTCACTCTCTGTAAGATCTTAGTTACTCCGTACTTTTTAGATGATATTTCATTTCATAATTTTTTTTAGTAAGGAGAGACAATATATAAATTGATTTAAGTTGAAGAGTTGAGTCATAAATCTTTTGCTGCGCTAAGTTTCACACACCATTGTTAATGTTATTGCAATTTATTAAGGAGCATTTCCTAGATTTCCTTAATGTTCTGCCAGAAAATATGCACTCGTATTATTCTTCTTTGCAATGCTTTGTTTCGATCTCACCTCATGAGTCATGACATACACAGAACAGTGCGGTTGCTGTTACTTGCTTACTTGGAGGAACATCTGATAATACTGGATCTGGAATTGCACGTCGGTTGGGTAAGTATCATTCCTCAAAAGCATTTCGTTTTTAACGCTGGGATAAATAATTTACTTTAAGATCTTGTTGCAGTTATAAAGACTGGCCTCAATATAATAGTGGCTTGTAATATCCCTAAAAATAGCCCCATGCTTGAGGTATGTAACACGTGCTCTCTCTCTCTCTGTGTGTGTGTGTGTAGTCCACGGTTAATGTACATAAAACTACAAATATGTATCGTTTTTAAATAGCAATATTAAAGTGTGTGAATCTGCACAGCTGAAACAATATCCTTCAATTTGGTAAATAAAATGAAGCTTAGCCACTCATGGGTTTAGTTGACAAATAAAAATATGGATTGTAGTTCATTTTTTGAGAACTGATAATCTCTTTTCGTCAATTTGTTCAAATTTGGAAACTTCTATTTGTCGAGGCAAGGATGCGTGAAGGATTTATTACCAAAAGTGTTATCGAAGCGTCATAAAAAGTACAAACAGGCTAGTTCAAGGAACATCCATACTACCGTAATTCTAAAAGTGTAGCTTTTGAGCAAAATTATCAACATTTTTTCAGAAGATACAAGTGGTTCAGAACCAACCAACAAACCAGTATAAAAGAGATACAACAAGAGTTTTAAGTGTAAGGAGATAAATTCCACTATGTGTCACTGTTTGTTGCGGTCTTTTCGGTTAAGGCCTCTCAATCCCTTGAGTTTGTTTAGTTATATTGGAGTACATGCAGTTCATTGGTTTGTCTGTATTATATTCATCACTGGGGTTCTTTTGACACCCGACCCTGGTGTCATATTATGACACCAGGTCCATCTTAGGGCTCTATGATGATGCTCCATTGACCCCTAAGTGATTTCTACCCCCTCTAACCCTTCCCCACAAACCCCTAGCCTCTCCCCTGGCTTCACCCCCTATGGTTGACAATATTCGATAGTCGATTATCACCCATAGGGAGGGGTTGGGTTGGGCTATGAGGGCTCTGAAATGGACATGCGTCATATTATGACACCGGGTGTAAAAAAACATAGCCTCTTTTTTTTTCATTTATGCACATTTTGGGATCATACGAATTTGGCGTTAAAACCGTTCCTCTTGCTGTATCTCTTTTTGTACTCAGGCAGAAGCAGAGAAAAAGTTGATGGAGAAGCTTATAAGTCTAGGTTACGCCAAGCCGAGATCTCAAGCACTCTCTTCACAGTGAATGAAATAAATGGTATTATTGTGCCATGCTTTTCGAAGCTTTCCCAGCATAGAACGTATGTCTATTGTCACTAACGGCTGTGATCACATTTTTTTCAAGTCAATCTTTCTACCACTTTTTTATATACTCCGTATTTGATAATACATGCTGGTTTGCAAGAAACAAATTCTGCATTTTTGAATTTATATTTATGCTAAATTGTTTTAATTATCTTCTCTAATTTGATTCTTCTAAATATAAATTCATTAATTTAATAAATTTTACGGAGTATAATTTTTATTCTTCTATTATGTTATAATATATGGAGCTTGACTTATACTCCCTTCGTTCTCATAGATCTTCTCAATAGTCTTTTTTCTTTGTCCACAATAGATCTTCTCATTTCATTTTTTAATAATTAAAATATCACAACTACCCCCACTTACTTTATTTATTACACCTCACCCACCTCATTTAATACACTCCACCCATTTTTCATTAAGGATATTATGGTAAAATTTCACCTTTTTTCAACTCTCCTTAAAAATTACCAAAAGTCAAAATGAGAACATCTTAGGGAGACGGAGGGAGTACGGAGTAATGAATAAAATAAAGTAAAAGTAGGAAAGAAATCATCCCAAATAAAAGTAAACATAGAGAAAGTGATCATATTCCTTAAATAAGAGTTCGCATTGTGGTCATGTGAAATTGTAAATGGGTATTTTACAATATTTTTTGTAATGTAAATGTATTTTAATTTCTATTTTAAGAATAAATACATAAAATTCTTATTTTGGTTTATTTTCAATGTTTTACTATGATTTTAGTCTCTTTTTCCAAAGTAGGACCTTGAATGATTGGATAAATGGATAGATGGAGGAGATTGGTTGTGAATGTTTGTTTAGAAAAATAAGGTATTTAAAGATGGATGATGTGGAGATCGATATGAATGAGAGAGAACAAATGGATAGATGAATTTTATATTAAGGAAGGTAGATATTTAGTGAATATAGAGATGATGGCGTACATGTTTTAAAAGAGTTGAAGAAAAAAATTGGTAGCTGGTCATCGACGAATAGTAAAGAGACAACTCTAAGATTGTTGTGTTTGAGGAATTTAAAAGATAAAAGAAATGAAAATAATATATTTTGGTTTTCTGGGTAGAAAATAATTTGTTTTGTTTCCTTAGGGTGAAAGAAAAAAACTACGGAGTATTTGGTAAAAAGAAAAGAAAATAGGAAGAGGAAATAAATTGAAAAGAGAACACAATTTTTCTTTAATCATTGTTTTTCCTTCCAAATTCTACAAATCAAACAAAGAACGTAGCGTAACAGAAACATTTAATGCTCATTTTTTGTTTCATTGCTATATACACTTAAAACATGAATGGAATTGATAAATACACACATCAAATAATTATTCTCTCCGTCCTTTTTATTATTATGGTCTCGATAATTTTTGTTTATATGTTTTTATTGGTAATTTGATAATGATATAATTTATACCTATTATTGTACACCAATTTGTAATTAAAATAAATTTAAATGTGATAAGATTTTATACTTTGTTCCGAAAGAGTAATGTTATGTTCACAAACACAATGTTCACAATTTTCACAAACTTACTATTTAAGGTTTAAATTTTCATTTCAAAATTATTTTACACTATTTATTTTTTTTTAGATTGAAGTTCACAAATGGTAAGTTTATAAATTTTGTGACAAATGTGTTTGTAAACCAAGTATTTCCCGTTCCGAAATTTACATCCATTGTGAGACGGAAGTACATAATTCGAAGTATGGTGATGTTTAACCCACCACCAAATTATAAAAAAAAAATTGACAACTTTACCCTTTCAATTCTTCCTTTCTTGTATACTCTGTAAACATTAAGGATGAACTTATCTATTTCATATAAAAACAGTGTATATAGCCAAATGAAGAGTAAATTTAGCAAAAGCCTTCTCAGTATTCCCGTAATTGCTAATACATACTTAAACCTTGCATATACTTAAACCATACATATTACTCCGTACTCCATATAAAATTAGCGCATGCACATTTACAAGTTATAAAATGGAGTACTATTTTTTTATACAAAATAAGACGATGTACACATAAATAGGTAAATTCAAACGCATAGTATCGCTTCGTATTATTACAGAGTATAATGTGCTCTACAGCTAACTATATGGGAGTCAAACACGTGATTAGCGAGACTTTGCGTGTAACAAATAAAATTTCATCTCAACAATGTACCAACTTTAGGCAGTGGGTGTGACAAGGGAAAAACCAAAGTTTTGATTAGAAAATAAATATATATGGCGCCATTCGTCTGTGTGTGAATGAAGAAACAAAAATCTAAACGTTCACGTGATTTACAGCGCACAAACACACCAATATTAACTAATTACATCAGAATACATTTATCTTTTGAAGAAGATGATGACTTGGGAGTCTCCTGCTTGGAAGATGAAGATGATGACACCTGTTGTGCACTGTACCTTGATACCTGCATTTTTTTTATGTATTAAAAAAAAGATGAAAGAATTATGAATTTATAGAGAAGTATGCAAACCTTACCCCTACGTGTACAGACAATAACATGAACAATGTAATGAACATAGACGAAAGCATAAAAAACACCACGACCATAATTTATTACAGGAGTACAAATTATTGCCCACAAGTTCACACCCAGCTACTCTATTCCTAGATCTCAAGACATTTCTATCTAAGGTCATATTCTCTGTAAGATAGATAAAGATGATTAAGGTTTAGTTGATTTTGTGTACCTGAGGACCGGTTATCAATCCTGACCCGGCATTTATACTGGGCTGCTGCTGCTGCTGTGGTGCTTGCTGCTGCTCGAATTCCTGTTGCTGAAGTGCTATTGCCAATTGGAGATCAGAACTGCCCACAGAGTGATTGCAAGATTATCATCCAAATTGCGATGCCACAAAAGGGAAAAACTAATGCGCCCCCGAGTGTGCCCCCAAACCTTTTAAATTCTCCTCGCGGATGAGTAAAGACAAGAAAAATAGTCCCATAAAAGTGAAACCAAGTTTGATAGCATCGGTTCGTGACAGGCACACACGCACAGACAATGACTATCTATATTGTGCAGCATGTCCGTGTGAGACACGATGGTGTCAAACTTGATGTCATGAGTGGTGTGGAAGTGGAATTACTCAGAAAAATAGGGGGCAAGGCTTGGGCACACTTAAAACCACCATAGTCCAGGGGGAGCACATGCTACCAGTGTTAATTTCAAGAGTCAAGACACTTACTTGAAACCAGATTGTCCTGCCACTGGCTTGTCAATGCTGGCAATATAGTCCTGTAGATTAGGATGAAGTTCGAGTCCATCTTTTTATTTAAAAATATATGATAGAAAAATGGAAAATATGAGTAACATAGAGAAAGGGCTGGCTGCATACAGCTGTACTGGCCAACGCACTCTGTTCATCCCAGGGTGTATTTTCTTCATGACTTTCCAACTTAAAATCCTTAAAACTACCAGTCACGAATACTGTGTCCCCATTCACCTAAGGACACAGATTATACAATGTTTTATATGATAACTAAGAGATAAGCAGTAGCAAATATGATTAATTTAAGAAAATATTTGTTATGCAGCAATCACGTCCAAAACTGAAGGAAACACTCCACTGCTAGCTAGGCTTGTCTCTCTTGGATATATATCTTTTTCTTTTATTTTTGGGCACAAGCAGAAAACATTGCACTCAAGTTGGAAAATTTTTGTTTACCTCATTGAGCTTTTCCCATACCAAATCAGGTTGGTTCAAGTATCCCTGATCTGTTGCCAAAATGTATAATTGCCCTTCATACTGCACAAATTTTTATATTAGGCACATGTATGCGCCCTGTAAAATGCATCAAAATACATATATGGTTCGAGTCATGTACAAGTGAAAATTGTTTTAAACACAAATAACCTTAAACATGGTGTTGAAATGATTGTTCCTAAAGAACACACAAAGTTCACGCTCTTTGAGTCCCTCTTGCAAGCAAAACAAACTGCATGGGGGTAAAGATGTAATTTGTCACGCCATTCAAAACGATGTATATACACAAAGGAACTGAGTAAAAAGTATTTAAAATAGCTTACCCATAGATAGTCAGTTGACTTGCACTGGTATTAAGAAAATTCCTGATCAATTCCCCTGGGAGAAACAAGAACATATAATTTTCTTTTTGTGAAACATTAAAGAGGAAACCTGTATTTTGTATAGATGTTAATTACGGAATTACCTTCACTTGGTGTGACATTAGGCTTGTGAATATCTCTACTGTCTCCAATCGCTTGTTCAGTTAGAACCGCCTCGCCTTCATACATTGGTTCACGATTTTGATAGTTTCCAGTTTCTGATTCCAATATGCATTCTTCTCCTTCATAGATAGGCTCACTGCCATCAACACTAGAAGAAATGGTTTCAGTTTCACCTATGTCTTTTCTTCCACTGGACAAATCAGAGTCTACATTACAATCGCTTTTATCTTCTGCGTCACGTCTTTCACATGTAGATGAATGAACTTCTTCTGCAGATGGCTCAGGGGGTGTTTGTGGACTTTGTTTTTCTTTCTCGACCACCAAATCTGTACTCCCTGACGATGATGATTCAAGACCAGAGTTTGGTTCGGTAGTATCTTTTACAACGGTGCCCTCGGCATTAGATGAAGTTGCCACATCTCCTTCCTCTAATGACAGTTTCAAGGTTCTCGACAACTCATTTTCTTCCAGGTCGCCTTTTCTAGCCTCCATGGGGTTATCATCATCGCATAAAACAGAAACGGGAGAATTGTCAAAAGATCTACTGCTCCTTGAAAGACAAGGTGAAGGTACACCTAGTGCTGCAGTTGTTGCAGCAGCAAAATCGATCACAACATCATCTTCAATGCTTTCTTTATCATGTTTACTTCTGTCAATATGGTCTGCTTCAAGAGCAACTAGCTCCCCCATCAGAGTATTATATGACTTCAATCCGATTGCATCTGCAGTTTCTTGATCCTGGTACATGAGAGCCACATCTCAAACTACTGTGTACAAATTATGATGAATTGAGTCCTACTTATTCCAATCAAATATAACTTAGATAGAAAATTCCTCTGGGAGAGCTTTTCACAGGCTAAAATAGAACTTGATATATCAAACAGTTATAATGCAAGGGCACATGATGGAAAGCATGTGGGGACAGCTTATACCTGAGGATCAACTATCCAACCATGATAGAGTGGAATATCCAGCAGATCAAAAATTGCACATTCTCGAGTGAACTCAAAGTCATCAATTCTGACCCAAAAAAAAAGATGAGTTTTTTTTAATCCAAAAAAAAATGAGTTTTCTTTTAAAATTGTCGCTAAAAACAACAGATAGCAAATTAGCAATATTATACACAACTACACACACAAAAAATGCGAGAAAGAAAAAACTGACCTCGTAAATTTTATATTTACATCAATTCCAGTTGTAAGTCTGGGAAGCAAATCAATTGCATCTGCAATGTTTTGCTGCTGATTCTCAATATATCCTGCATCTTTGTTCTAGATCCCGAACAAAAAGAATGTATCAGAAAAAAAAACCCAATGAATCTTTTTTCTAGTTAAATAATCACGGGTTTTAAAAATTAGAGCATGGTATGGAAAGAAACATTCTTGTAAATGAACACATATCTCCATTATATTATTGTGAAATTTTATAAAGTAAAATTAGCACATCCACAAAGCAAGAAAAAGGAATTACATTGATATTACTATTTGAATCTATAAGTCGATCTGCAACAAGGGACAACAGCTTTTCCTGTGAAACCTCGGCAACATCAGGACTCAAACTTATGTTGTTCTTCAATAGCAGTACATTGCCTGGATATAAAAAGTTTTAAACACATTATAAATATGAACAGATAATGAAATCATTTATTTGTGTGAACAGAAATAAAAAATCTACAGGTGACAAGGATGCAAAGCTTGTGTCGATCGATGATTAATTGCAATCTAATATGGAGAATAAAATGAGAAATGATAAGGGAAAGAAAATGCATGTAGAGGGTGTTTGACGATGATTCTCACTTTCTACATTGGATAGAAGAAGTTTGGTAATATTTAGCAATTCTTTCGTTGCCTGATTCTCAACATCAAATGCCTCAATATAACAAAAGCAAAAGAAAAAGACGGGAAACATCTCCGAGGTGCTTTAAGATATTATGTTTAAAATAATCACTTCTCCAAAAGATTAAGAAAGGCCAAACACACTCATAAGCATTTTTGGTCTTCAACTCTTTGTACTAAAACATCAATTGTACATGAAAAAAATTGAGCTTTATATAGCATAACTGTGTAAAGATGAAGAGAAATTGAATTAGATATGCAACCTGGTCTAATTCCCTCCCTTAGATTCCTACTTGTCAGGTTATGTGTGATTAACTCTATCCAACATTTCATCTAATTCTAGTTATAATTAAGATAAGAAATATACTCATTTCACCACCAACTCCTGCCAAGAGTTTACAGAAGCAAATTGAGGTCTAATTACAGTTAAAAATTAATCATTTCATGATCATGCCAGTCAACAATTCTCATATAAATATGGTCCCTAGATTTTTATATCAGAAATCAGATCAAAAAAAATAATCAAAGAACAGAGGAAGATTATAGATAAAACTGCTGCATTGACTCTAAATTGATCCACACAACCCAAATTGGTATCAGAACGAATTTGCGCGTGCTTACAATTATACCAACATCAAAACCCTAGGTGAGAGAGAGAGTGAAATGGAGAGGAGGTTTACAGATAGCAAGGAGAGGGCAGGGGCCATTGTCATTCTGGAGAATGATGGGAGCAGTCCGGCCCAGAAACTGAATGGTCTTAGTTTTATGGACCGATTCTTTCTCCTTCTTCACAGCCTGCGTCGTCTCGGACTCGTCTCGATTCTTATTCTCCTCCAGAACCGGAGACGCCTGCTGCTGCGGCGGCGGCGCTTCCGACGATGGCGGGGGTGAAGAAGTAACAGACATTACACGGACTGGTTTCTGAAAAATTGGGCGGATTCAGGCAATCGATTGGATATCTTCAACCGTGTGAATACGCCCCGCGCAACAGAGACTGTGTGAGGGAGTTCACGATCTGAAATTGACGTGGGAAAAACGAGAGAGGAGGATGAAGAAGACGAGGACGACGGGTCGAGGGAATCACCTGTGGATAGATATTTTTCGACTAAATAATCTCTTGACAAGTCGAGTGAAAATGGCAAACATTTCCCCTCTTCCTCATGATAAATAAATTTGATCAAATTTAATTTCATGAAAAATAATAAAATCTTTTAAATCAAATCCTGTAATTCTGTAATTAATCTTTAATGACATAGAGTTTTATTATATTTAAGTTTCCATTATCAAATACTCCGTATTACATTTGTGGTCTTTCTTTTAGGTGTGCTATTTCATATTTGGTCTATTTTCACATTCTGCTATGTTGGTGTTAAATTGAAAGGATAAAGTTCTCTATTGATGTGCCGCTTGTCAACTTGAGTCATAATCTACTGCTTCCATAGACTACAAGTGTCGTTTCTGATTAGAAGGATTCTACTTCACAATCATAGTCATTATTATTGTGTTATCCGTCAAACGAACATTGAAATGTATAATTAGACATAAGATCTATATAAAATTACACTTTTAACGCTCAATTTGACTATCTTCTCTGACCCCACGTTTTTTTGTTAATCATATTATTAGAACAAAGGGTTGGTGTGTATGAATTTCGAATCATGGTCTCCGTCAAATTATACCGAGTATCATACATTTTGTATCTCTGTTATTTAAAAAGTACCACAATTTAATTTTTTTATCAAACTGTGGCATCATTTAACCACGAATTAAAAATAGTTTAAAGTAATAAAATATTATCAAAATTATATTTTAAAACAAACCTAATTTTGTTAAATTTAAATTATAATTGAATATACTTTTTTTATAACTCAGGGTCAAAAATTATCACTGTTTGATTAAAAAAATCAAATTGTGACAACCTCTAAAAGACAGAGTAAGTATATTGATAAGTTGAATTTGATACGCACAATCTTAATCACATATAAAATCAGAAGGATTTTTTTTAAAAAAATTGCATTGAAAGAATATCGATTTTGAGAATCAGATAATATTGCAGAGTATATGTGTTGATATTAATCTCTTTATCGATAGTAGTGTCTTTGTTGAGATTATATTACTCTTTGTATATCCTAAAATTAAATTTACAGTTTAACTCTAGTAATCAAACTTTTTAAATGCATTTTTTGAGAAAAGTACTTTGAATTTCTATATAAATTTAAAATCAATAGATTTATTTTAAATCACAATTTTGAAATATTTTGATACGAAGGTACCATCGGACACGTTAAGCAATGACGTGGTGGACTCGACTACGGCACCGGTGTGTTCTCGTCCGCATAGGAACGTGGGCCGTCCAAGAAAATATGACGACTATGTTTAAACGTATCATTTTAAATTATTGGCTTTTATTTTTATTGTATCGTAGATTTTTTTAGGTGAGCGGTTTATAAGCTCCTTCGAGGGTTTCTTTACGGTTCTTTACCTCGTCGTTTTTTTTGAACCGTCAGGATAGATAACCTAGACTAAGTAGGATTAAGGGGGTTATTTGTTATAAATAGGGCGTCCAATGCTCTCCTAATAATCAATAAAGAATTCCCTTAAACCCTAAAACTCTCTCTCTTTCCCTAACTCTCCTTCTCACGTAACTCTCTCTTTTCCCTCTTCCCCCCTGCCGCACGGACCTTCCTCCCCGTCAACCTCCTGTTGACACCTTTGGGAGGTATCATTGGTGCTTTCATTGCCGTTCTCATGACGACGTCACCGCCTCCCCAAGATGCTTCTCCACCGGCCCTCAAATTGGAAGATCTCATGAACGCCATCACGAACTTGGGCAACGAATTGCATGCCACGCGGGTTCAACAGGCGTC